ACTTAAATCACCCCCAGACCTGAAAAGTCATTGTCACTGCTGGTATGGATCTATTGCATTCTCTTTATTCACTGAATTAGAAATCATTATCACTATCTTCAAACAGTATATAACTGGATCTGGAATGGGATGCTTTCAGATGAAGCTTCAGAACTCAGAGCAACCCCAACAGTGCTGTAAATAAACCTCCAGTAGTGGCCAAACCAAAGTGATGATTATCAACTCCCAGTAGCTCCTCTAAGGGAAGGTGAGGTCTAAGTAGAGGGGAACAGTGCCTTCATGCACCTGTTCCCCAATTCCTTAACAAAGGCTTATTAATAGAGACATCTATATATTGCCCCTGGTAGATGGTTTTTGTAGGATTACAGGTAACAGAGAATCCACTTGTTCAGCTGTTCTTGCAACAACTTCAGTCACAAAAGTGGAAATTGGCACTGGAGTAATGGGAGCTGGCTTCTTTAATGACTTCATGGGATTTCTGAGCCACACTTTGTCCATAATTAAATTCCTTCCTCATACCACCAATTTTTAGATGGGCATATACATAAACTGTATGAAGGGATTTTTGTTATGTCTCTTAAAAATTAGAAAAGTTGATATTGTATATCATCAGCACATTATGCCAATACAGTTATAAAGTGAGTTTTTTTGTACCCACAAGTTGAAAGTCTTCAATTTTAGACTGAAAAATTCTTGAATTTTTGAAGCTTTGTTTTAAGCTATATCAAATGTCACCATCTTGTTTTAAGCCACATCAAATGTCAAAGTAATTTCATCCATATTTGCTTTTTGTAAATGGTCAAAACTATATTCTCCACTGACATTAGTCACACAACTGTGAAATCAGTGATCCTCTATTTATTAGCTGATACCTATGTGCTATTTTTCTGGCTTACATACATAGTAGATTTATCTCTTTGTTATCTGGAACTCTATGATGTTGATCCAGGAAAATCATTCATGCCTCTGTTGCTTTCCATTGTTTTTTTTTCCTCTGAATACTCAGCATTCTGAGCTTTGGAAAAAAATCTAGTGTCATGCTTTAATTCCTGGTAGTAATGATCTCTTTACAGTTTGGCAGATGAAAATATGCCATTCATGTTTGCTCCATGCCTTTGTCCTAATATCTTATTCTTTGTAGAACTGGAAGATGCTAAACATGAACTTAATATCATAGCAATGATTGTTCATTTGCTCTATAGACTACAGTGGTAATAAATAAGAATCTAAAATGTTTGAGGAGGTACTTAAATGCTACCTTGAATTAGCAGTATATATCCTGATGGTTGGTATAGGAGCAGCAGAATATATTTTTGGTCAAAACTATCAGGACCACTGTTAACTTTGTTATCTTTGTTGAGATGGTTTTTTTTTAATTTTATTTATTTATTTTTAGAGAGGGAAGGGAGGGAGATAGAGAGAGAGAAACATCAATGTGCGGTTGCTGGGGGTCATGGCCTGCAACCCAGGCATGTACCCTGACTGGGAATCAAACCTGCGACACTTTGGTTCGCAGCCCGTGCTCAATCCACTGAGGTACGCCAGCCAGGGCTGGGTTTTTTTTTTGCCATGTTTTGTCATAAGGGGCAGCATCATCACCTTCATTGTGTCCATTTAATCTTTAACATGGATGCATTGGGCCCAAGTAAGGAGGGAAAGATTTTAAAAGTACTATATAAAAACAATATCACTTAATAATGCTTATAGATATGATGGTGATGGTTAATAGGGGAGAGTGTGAAGGCATTTTCTGTAACTGAGAAATTTGTCTGCAAATATGAACGTCCTATAAGGAAAAAAACCTCCTGTTTCTCCTTTGCTCTCAGTACTCACAGTGGACACTTTTGTGATACGATGTGTGGGAGTTTTCCCACACCAAGCAATTCTCAAACTCTGTGCTGGATACTGACTGAGTGTTCCACAATTTTACTCATTTCTAACACTATCTACCTAGAAATAGTATCAGATCCTATAGTTAAGGGCTGAGTCCTACAAGACTGCTGCCCCTCCCATTTCAGTGGCAAGTCACAAGTCCAGGTTGTCACCTGTGCTTCTGACCAATAGGCTATAAATCAGAGATTCCCCCAAATCCCCTTCTTGGGTTTGATCACTTGCCAGAGTATCTCAAAGACCTCAGAAAAACAGTTTACTAACTTATTATAAAAAGATGTAACTCAGGAACAACCATATAGAAGAGAAGCATAGGGCAAGGTACATGAGGATACTGAGTTTCTATGGTCTCTGAGTGTACTACTCTCCCAGAACAGCACCTCTACTTGTTCACCAGATTGGAAGTATCTGTGTTTGCTTAAGGCAAGATAAGGCTTTTACTAAAGAAGTTATATGCCTGGGGCCTGACTACCTATCATGACTCGACCCATTAGGAATTTGTGATTATATCCCCCATGAGGTTGCTTTCTGTAGAACTCATTTTTCATCCACATGCCTAACTACAGAGTGAAATAAGAATAAAAACAATATTAAGTTTGATCTAGAGTGGAGAGTGAACCCCAGAGACCCCTTAGCAACCCTCCTGCCACCAGCATCCATTACTATCACAACTGGGAAGGAACTATGGCTGCCACAGTCAGCTCTAGTCACCATCCTCATTACTATAACCATGAGCAGTGGGGCTGAGACCCAGCAGCTATCTGATACACTTCCTCAGCCCTGCCACCAATCAGTGTGATTCCATGGACAGAGGTGGAGGCAGTGGCAGCCCACTGGTCATCACAATGAAGGTTTGGGGAAAAGTAAAATTGTTCAGTGTCAGAAACAGGAATGGTTTCATCCACAGGAATGACACCAAACAATATGCATTTGTATACCAGCCTGCCATAAAGAAGAGTTACCTCCAGGAAGCACCACCCCAGTATAGGAGGTAGAGAAACTATAGAATTTGATGGAGAAAAGGGTGCAGAGGCAGCAAATGTTGTAGGCCCTGGTGGATTTCCAGTGCCAGGCAGTAAACAAACAGCAAAATGTAACCATTATAACCATTATAAACGTTATGGGGGTCCTCTGTGTGTTTACCAGCAAAATTACTTCAATAAAGAGAGTGGAAAAAAGGAGAGATTGTAGAGAGTGCCCTAAATGCCAGACCTAACTGCATGCACACCTTTCCTCATATGGAGACCCCACTATGGGTGTTGTTGAGAGTATTCCAATCCTGTCTAAGGAGGAATGATGGGGGTGCTAATAATTAGGGTGAAGGAGAACAAAGTAGACCAGGGAGAGAGATCACCTATTGGGAATATAGACCATGGCTCAGAGCCCCTCCTCTCTTAGAACAGCAATTGAAGAGGAACAGGAAAATCAATAAGAGACCCAAGATCAGCAGACACCATAGATCAGACAACATAGGTGCCCCCAAAACTTCAGTTACCAACATAGACACCCAAAAAAACCTAAACTGCAAGATGGCAAGAGACCACAGTTGGAAACTCAGCTCTGAGGCTGAGCAGGAGGAGGGTAAGTGAGGACTTTCAATCTGTATTATCATCTGGGTTAGATGCTCAAAAAAGAAAATGAATATGAAATTTCAGCAATAAGACCTGAACAAACAATTGGTGCTGAAGACCTTAAGTGTTTGCTTTGTATCCATTAATCAGACAAGTAGAACTATCTGCATTATGGGGTTTTTATTATTTTTCTCTAAAGATACCTCTTTTTGGTAATGACCAACATGTTTTTTTAAAGTCTGGTGTTTTTCATATATCTTTAAAGGTTTGAAAATTGTTTCATATTGGTCAATTTGATGTTATTAAGAGCCTGATTTTTAATTTGTAATAAAATTTTATAGCTTGATTTTTTCCACAAAAAGCAGCAAACTGCAAGTATCTAATATTACAAGTCTAATAATAATAATAATACAGCAAAACAGAAACAGAGTTTGGCTTAAAGAATTCTAACTTTTCCTTAGATTTTATATATTATTTGGTTTTTGACAATGTCTTGTGAGTTCTCATGTGTCTTGGTGATAAGAGACATTATAGAACATAGACATAGAATATACTAAGTACTGTTCATTCTTCTTCTCATGTAAATTTCTTCTTCAATGGCAAAATGACATGGGGGAACATTTTACCCTTCTATCTTTTGCTATTGCTAGCAAAGAACTGAATGTAGAGAGACATTTGAATTTCCCTCCTAAGAGAGAAGTATAGAAAGTGGTAGTGATTTATGTATTTTTCATATTTCACACACTTTTCCTTGAGCATGTGTGACTCATCTAGGACTCCTTCCTTACTCATGGAATTGAAAGCTTATACACAACTTTTTTTTTTTGGTCGGGGGGAGGTGGTCGTTAATGGGAAAAGCCTACTAAGAAGAAATGAGACTTAAAGACTTGCAGATAATTATTTTAGTCATATCATAGCCACAGGCACAAGAAGTTGGCTCTACAGTCCCTAAAGCATGACTGCAAAAATGTGCACTGTAGTGTTTAGCTCCCCAAGGGATGCGGGTACTTTCTCCATGAGACCCAGTCCTTGAAATGAACTAAACAATAGCATTTCTTTTTATCTTCTTCCTCTGGTATATGGCAAAGCAAATTGCGTTTATTGCAGCTAGAAATTTATGCAGCCCAGGTCCTTGTTGGCAGATGGCAGCAGGACTGGCCTCAGGGCTGCTGCTGGTGCAAATCAAAGAGCTCGAAGGTTCTGCCCTTGGCAGGAACAAAATTGTTTCTTATCATCCCATTTTCTTTCACCAAAAGCATGAAAAACAAGATGTAATCAGTTGTTGAAAGTACTCAATGCCATGATAACCATGAAATATACTGTCCTTTCTTGTCTTCCTAATGGCTGAGGGACTTACAAGTAGATGGATGCATAACCCTTTTGAGAGACTGTGGAGTTGCTCCTAAAGTACACACCCTGTACCTGGGCTCTAAGATAACTTCTGAGTTTCTTACTTGTTGCAAATCACCCATGCCTTTATGTCCATGCTTTCTCTGTCCTTCCACAGGCCTGATGTGTTTTTTTTCCACTTTGTTTCAGGGCTCATCGTCGGGGTGATCCTGAGGTATGGCACCCCTGCCACCAGTGGCCATGACAAGTCACTCAGCTGCACTCAGGAAGACAGGGCCTTCAGCACATTATTAGTCAATGTCAGTGGAAAGTTCTTTGAATACACCTTGAAAGGAGAAATCAGCCCTGGCAAGATCAACAGTGTAGAGCAGAATGACATGCTGAGGAAGGTGAGCTGGGACACTGAGTGGTTGTCCTGATGTGGTGTTTGATTTCCTATTTGGTCTCAACCTTATGGAGAGAAATTATTTCAAACTCCTGGAGCATGGATAGCATTTTTGCTTCTCAGTTTTGCTAGGAGACTTTTGGGCTATGATGTAGAAAAGAAGGAACAAGATTTCAATTTCAACCTTTCAGTTTTGCTGGGATCAGTAGCTGACTTGGGCCACTGATGGTGCAGTAGGTTTGTACATCCCCATTCAGCTCATATCTCTAACCCTTGTCTTTTCTTTACTGTGTCTTTTGTTCTAATTTAGGGATGAGGTTGTTTCTTTCTTAAGATTGGTTTCACTTTCAGGTTGTTTATTCAATATTCAGAACTAATTCTTGGTTCTTCATAGTTCTTTTGCTATATTCTATAAATACTTGTTGAGTGTACCCTCTCGTTGGTGATTGATAACAAAGGCTTATTCTTCAGAGGAAAGATGTATTCTTGTCTTAGAATTTGAGTCCAACTATTGGTTTTCATTTGATGTTGGAAGTAGCTAAAATACTCCACAGGAAAAAGGATTATGTCCCCTTACTTGGGTGATTTCCAGCATAAGCAAGAGATTTGTATTTATCCTCATATATTCTATTACCTTATAGACCTGGTGTTATCAGCAGGAAGGCTTCTGGATAAAGTCTGAGCGATCCAAGTTGTGGAAGACCCTTTTAATATGGAACAAGATTAATGTGTGTGAAGGTTTGCAGTCAAAGATACAATGTAGTCCTTACTCCAAAAATTAAATTATTATTAATCTCAAGATCTATCCTAATTCTTAAAGAAAATTATTCTCAACCTGGAGCATTTAACATCCCATTTTCTCCATGTCCTGAATGGCAGTTCTCCTAAGCTCTTTGCTTTCAAATACTTCATAAGCATGCATGGGATGAAGTGGGTGTCAGGAAACTTTTGTGTTGCTTCATACATTACTGAGTTGGTGACTTCCAGCAAGTCTCACTCTCTTTGGCCCCAGTGTCCTCATCTATGTAGGTATTGTCCAATTTCCCTTCTCATTCTGACAGTCCCTGCTTTTCAGACCACTCTTATCTTCAGCAAGAAGATAGGATAATGGATAATTTGGCAAGAACCATTTGACTTTTAAATAGACTAGTTAACATTTCTAGTTTCTAAAGAGAAATGCTAACTACACTATTAATAATTAGAATGAAAATTTAAAATAATTAATTGAAATAAGAGCCAACTAATCTACTAACATGAACAAATTCTTTTAAACCTCAAATTCTAGGAGGTTTATAGAATGGTTGTGTTTTCTGGATGTGATACGACTTTTGCTGTCTAATAGTTTCACAGTGATTTCCCTGTATTAAAACTACAGGTGATTTAAGTCCCATTAGAGCTGCTGAATTTATTTTGGTGTTGAGGAAGTGATGCCATTACCATCACTGGAGACTTTGATCTAGGTCACATCATGTATCACAAAAGGCTGGCCACTCAAAAGAGACTTAAATTTAGTAGAATTATGTCTATAAATGATTCTGTGGGAAGATCCAGACAATTAATAAAGAATTATGACTGCATCTTTTATTGCAGTTGAGCTTTCATAAAGCTGTAATAAAAATCAAGATGTTTTGATTTCTTGTTTAAAAACATTGACCAGAAACTTCCTATGAGGTCTCAAAATTGCATTGCACTGTTGTGTCTTAATATGTATTAAATGGTACCCCAAGAGCAGAACTCAGAAGTGCTATGTGGAAATTTGTCATTCCACAGGGGAGTTGTGACTGCTCTTTTGTGATGCGCTCATGATTTTTCACATTTATATTATATGCTTTAATATTCAAACTTTAGCCAATGGCTTAAAATATTAAGCAAATATTATAGCACCAATTGTTATTAAACTAATAATGGGCTTTTTTTTCTTTTTAAACTTTTAGGTAACATTCGATCCAGAGGTCTTTTTCAACATTCTGCTGCCTCCAATTATTTTCCATGCTGGATATAGTTTAAAGAAGGTAAGAAAATTTGCAAGTATTTCCTTTTCTTCAAGCTTAAAATAATAAAAAAATTATCCACAGATAATAACAACATAATGACATTCTTGGGGTGAATTATCATAAAACAAAAACTTTGTATAGTTGAAAAAAGAAATATAAACACATTCCAAAATAGTGTTCATGATAGTACGTGTGTGTGGTGTATACAGCTAATGCCATAAGTGGGTCTACCTTTACCAATAACTTCATGGAAACTATGGAAGGAATTCCCATGGCAAACAGATTTCCTGCTGGTTGACCTTTTAATAGTGTTATTGCTTGGTTTAAAGTTTTATTTTCTCTTGAGAGGTAGAAAGGCTTTAAATTATGTAAGCAGTATGATTTTTTTGACCACTATTTCTTAAAGCATGGGAAGCTCTGTGTTAATTTACCTGCATAATTGTCTATTTTTTTCCATCTCCAAGATTGCTTATTACTGTGTTATGTACCCACTCAGACACTATAGTTGACTTATCATCAGTGATTCATTTCTGTTTTAAAATCTGGGACTCTCATACATTGCCAGTGGGAATATAAAATAGCACAGCCACTCTGAAAAAGTTTTGCAGTTTCTTATAAAACTGAAGTTGAATTCCCATATGCCCCGGCAGTTTCATTCCTGAGCATTTATCCAGAGAAATGAAAACTTAGATTCACACAAAAACTTGTACATGATTGTTCATGGTAACTTTATTTATAATAGCCCAAAACTGGAAACAACTAAAATGTTCTACAATAGGTGAATGGCTAAATGAACATCCATACCATGGAATACTACTCACCAATAAAATGCAATGAACTATTGATACACACAACAGTCCGGATGAATCGCAAAGACATTATGCTGAGTGAAAAAATCTAATCACAAAAGGTCACATACTATATTATATCATTTATATAGCGTTCTAGAAATGACAAAATTATAGGAATGGAGAATAGATTAGTGGTTTCCAGGGATTAAGAATGCAGGAGTGAACCCTGGCTGTTGTGGCTCAATGGATTGAGTGCTGGCCTGTGAACGAAAGTGTCACTGGTTTGATTCCCAGTCAGGGCACATGCCTGGGTTGCAGCCCAGGTCCTCGGTGGGGGATGCGCAAGAGGCAACCACATATTGATGTTTCTCTCCCTCTCTTTCTCCTTCCCTTTCCCTCTCTCTAAAAATAAATAATTAAATGTCTAAAAAAAAAGAATTCAGGAGTGAGAGGGGGATGAGTATGACCACAAAGGGGTAGCGTGAAGGAGATTTTTGTGTCGTTAGAACTTTTCTGTATCTTTTCTTTTATCTTCACCCAAGGATGTTCACTAATTCTAGAGAGATGGGGAGGGGGAAGAGAGAATGGGAGAAAAACATTGATGTACAAGAGAAACATCAGTCACCTGTCTCTCACATGTACCCTGACTGGGGACTGAGCCCATAACCTAGGCATGTGCCCTAATGGGAGTTGAACCAGTGACTTTTGGTTTATGGGACAATGCTGCAACCAACTGATTCACACTGGCCAGGGCAAACTCTTCTATATCTTGATTGCAGTGGAGCTTACATGAATCTACACATGCAAAAAAAGGACATAGAACTACACACGTACATTGTACCAATGTCATTTTCCTGGTTTTGATGTTGTACTACAGAGATAACCAGAGGAGAAAACTGGTTAAAGGTATACGGGACCTCTCTGTACTAGCTTTGCAACTTCTGTGAATCTATAATTACTCCAAAATAAAAAGTTTAAAGAAATTCATCCTGATTATTGAGAATCATTGTGCTTAGCAGCAAGGTGGGGACCTAAGCCCCTAATTATTTAAAATACTGAATACCTTTACAAATAGTGTTAGTGGCTCCCTTCCTCCCCCATTGTGGAGGTATTCTGTGAAAATATAGCCTCCTAAAAGGCCTTCCTCCCTCAAGGGAGGAACTTGTTTCAGCTGTCTTTCTGGATAGGGACTAAAGGAAACTTTTTTGGTGAACCTAGAGAAGGGAAATTTTGGCTACCAGTAAAACTCAATAACATCCTGAGAAACTAGAGTATGTCTTTTAAATTGATAAACCTCTAGATACATCAGTCTAGAAAAAAAAGAAACAAACTACCTGTATGAGGAATGAAAGGTGGGACATCACTACAGGCCCTTTAGACATTAAAAAGACAGTAGTGGAATACTACAAACAACTTTGTATAATTAAATGTGACAGCACAGGTGAAATGGACAAATTCCTTGAGTGATACAAATTACCAAAACTGACTGAGAAGAGATGGAAAACTTGAATAGCCCTATATTAATTAAAGAAATTGAGGTCATGATCTAAAACCCTTCCACACACCCAGATGGCTTCACTGGTGATTTTTTCCTAGCAATTAAGGAAGAAATAATACTAGTTTTATACAAACTCTTTCAGAAGTAGAGGAGGGAACATTTCCAACTCATTTTATGAGAGGATACCTGCCTATGAGGCTGGTTCTTTTGTCAAAACAACTCTGCAGTTGTCAGAGGTTTTTAAACTATTTCCAACCAACATAAATACAGTTATTCTTTATGGACCATCTGACACAAACTCTATTAAGAATGTGAAGGTAATAGATTAGCTTCCACCCCTTCTCCCTCAGGTTTCCAACTCATTGATAAACAGACACAGGAAGCTAACTGGCAATTGAATGGTCCATTTATGACCCAAAGTCCCTGGTGACACATGTTGGATGATGTAGTTTAGCCCTTAGTTTTGGGGCTCCTTGCTACACATCATGAATTGAAGACAGATGCTCTTTAGCTTCCAGGTCAGTCACAGTCACAGATATGGAGGCTGAAATTGAGAGATCCTAGAAACTGCGGGACCCACTAAAGGCAGCCTCTTTTGCTCACAGAATGGAGACTAGAAGGGCAAGAACAATTTTCCACCTTGCACAAGATGTTCAAGACTGCAAGTCAGGGTCAAGCCAGTCTCCCCCTTCAGAGATCAAATGATTCTTCCTTACTGTATCACCTTTGGGGGAGGGGCGATGAAACATAAGTCCCTTCTGCATGATGGATGCTTGAGGATCAGGAGTCTGCATTTCTGCACACAAGCCCCACATACATTTTGTTTTCCAGACATGTAGAGAGTGGCTGCATTTTACTGAAAATCAACCTAAACTCAGAATTATTAAGTGACATCTATGAGGTTACATAGCATGACTAAGACAAGATTATAGCCTCTTTGTCTGATGCCAGAGCAAAGGGCATTCATCTGTGCTACACTCCCTCTGGATTTATGTTTTATATATAAAAAACGATTTTCTCTGACTAATCCATTGAGTTGCCAAAGTCATCTGAATCTATGTCTATTGACAGATAACAGATAAGAGATGATTTCATAGATATGAGTAATGTTATTCTTTATCTAAATGAAGAATTTGGGAACTCCTCTTAAGATCAAATGGGTGGACTTCTGGTCAAGATGGAGGCATAGGTAAACATGGCTTGCCTCCACACACAACCAAAGCAAATATTACAAGTAGACTACAAAACAAATATCACCCAAAATCATCAGAAAATTGAGCTGTATGGAAGTCCAACAACCAAGGAATTAAAGAAGCCACATTCATTTAGATGGGTAGGATGGGCAAAGACATGGAGATGCACAGAAAGGCACAGAGGTGAGGAGACACAGAATAGGTGGACCCACACCCACATGTAGTGGATAAAAATTGAGAGGAATATCTCAAGACTGAGGGATCCCAGCTCCACACCAGACCACCCAGCCTAGGGTACCACCTCCAGGAAGGTAAGTCCTATGACTTCTGGCTGTAAAAACCAGTGGGGGTTGGGGCAGCAGAAGAAACTGTGGGATTCTCAAGAGACTCCTCTTAAAGAGCCCGCAACAGACTTAGGACTTATATAAACTCACCCCCTATTGGCTTCAACACCAGCACAGCAGCTTGAAGGGCACTAGTAGCATACAGGGAGTAACTTAAGTGTCTGGTATCAAGGCATGTGCTGGGGAACAGTACCCTCCCAGGAAAAAAATCTCCAGAGGCCAGGCATTGGCCATTGCAACTTTGCTGAGCTCTCCCCTACACACAGCCACAGAGCAGTGACACCATATCTGAGACTCCATCAATTTAGGTCACACAGGTTGCTCTACCCTGGTGATTACCTACTGTTCCACCCCATCCAACTTACAGGTGCTCTTTTCCACAATAGGCTACAACTACTAAGACAGGGACTCAAAGCAGCTCTACCTAATATATAGAAACAAATACAGGGAGGATGCCAAAATGAGGAGACAAAAATATGGCCCAAATGAAAGAACAGAACTCCAGGAAAAGAACTAAACAAAATGGAGATAAGCAATCTATCAGATGCAGAGTTTAAAATACTGGTTATTAAGATGTTCAAGTAACTCACTAGGTTCTTCAACAGCATAAAAAAGACACAGGCAGAAATGAAGTTTGCACTAAATGAAATACAGAAAACTTTACAGGGAACCAACAGTGGAGGGGGTGAAGCCAAGAATCAAATCAATTATTTGAAACATAAGGAAGAAAAAAGCATTCTATCAGAACAGGAAGAAGAAAAAAGGATTTAAAAAACGAGGATAGGCTAAGGAGCTTCTGGGTGATCTCTAAATGTACCAATATCCAAATCATAGGGGTGCCAGATGGAGAAGAGGAAGAGCAAGAAGTTGAAAACTTATTTGAAGAAAATAATGAAAAAAACCCCTTTCCTAATTTAATGAAGGAAAAAGGCATACAAGTCCAGGAAGCACAGAGAGTCCCAAACAAGATGGACTCATAGAGGACCACAGCCAGACGCATCATAATTAAAATGCCAAAGGTTAAAGATAAAGAGAAAATCTTACAAGCAGCAAGAGAAAAGTAGAGAGTGACCTACAAAGGAGTTTCCATAAGACTGTCGGTGATTTCTCAAAAGAAATTTTGCAGTCTAGAAGAAATAAGCAAGAAATATTCAAGGTGATGAAAGGCAAAGACCTACAACTAGGCTACTCTGTCCAGCAAAGCTATCATTTAGAATGGAAGGGCAGATAAAGTGCTTCCCAGACAAGATAAAGCTAAAGGAATTCATCATCACCAAGCTATTATTATATAAAATGTTAAAGGGTATTTTTCTCATTTTTTATTGTTTTTCTATTAGAATTGTCCCAATTTTCCCATTGCCCTCCCCTGCCCTGCCCACCCACTGCTCCCACAGTCAATCCCCACCCTGTTGTCCATTACCATGGATCCTTTATACATGTTCCTTGACTAGGTCTTTCCCCTTCTTTCTCCTCTCCCCCCGCTCTCTAGTCACTGTCAGTTTATTCTTTATTGCTATGCCTCTGGTTCTATTTTGCTTATTTGTTTGTGTTGTTGATTAAGTTCCTCTTATAGGTGAGATCATATGGTATTTGTCTTTCACCTCCTGGCTTATTTCACTTAGGACAATATTCTCCAGTTCCGTCCATGCTGTGGTGAAGCACAATACTCTCCAGTTCCGTCCATGTTGTGGTAGAAGTTCTTTCTTTCTGCTGTGTAGCATTCTATTGTGTAAATGTACCACAGTTTTTTGATGCACTCATTTACTGATGGGCACTTAGGCTGTTTTCAACACTTGGCTATTGTAAATAACGCTGCTATGAACCAATTTGGGGTGCATAGGTTTTTTTGAATTGGTGTTTTAGACTTCTTAGGGTATAATCCCAGCAGTGGAATCGCTGGGTCTAAAGGCAGTTCCATTTTTACTTTTTAAAGGAAATTCCATACTGTTTTCCACAGTGGCTACACCAGTCTGCATTCTCACCAAAGGTGCACCAAGGGTTCCCTTTCCCCACATCCTCACCAGCACTTGTTTATTGATTCGATGATGATGGCCATTCTGACCAGTGTGAAGTGGTATCTCCTTGTGGTTTTCATGTGCATCTCTCTGATGGGTAATGATGTTGAGCATCCTTTCATTTGTCTTTGGGCTCTAGTATGTCCTCCTTGGAGAAGTGTCTGTTCAGGTCCTTTGCCCATTTTTTGATTGGATTGTTTGTCTTCCTGGTGTGGAGTTGTGTGTGTTCTTTATATATTTTGGAGATCAAACCCTTGTCCAAGGTATCATTTGCAAATATATTTTCTCATACAGTTGGTTTCCTTTTCATTTTGTTGCTGTTTTCTTTAGCTGCGCAGAAACTTTTTAAATTTGATTTAGTCCCATTTATTTATTCTTTCTTTTATATCCCTTGCGCTAAAAGAAGATCAAAATGATGAACATTAAAATAGCAATAAATTCACAACTATCAACAATTGAATCTTAAAAACAAACTAAGCAAACAGCAGAACAGAAACAGAATCATAGATATGGAGATCGTTTGGAGGGTTATCAGCTGGGAGGGGGAAGGGAGAGAATAGGGGAAAAGGTACAGGGATTAAAATGTACAAATTAGTAGTTTCAGGATAGACAGGGGGATGTTAAGAACAGTATAGGAAATGAAGAAGCAAAAGAACTTATACTCAAAACCCGCAGATATGAACTAAGGGGGGATTGCTGGAGGAAATATGGGGTACCAGGTTGAGGGTGACAAAGGGAAAAATTGGGAAAATGTACCATGATTACATAATCAATAAAATATATTTAATAAAAATAAAAATCAATGGTACATTTACACAGTGGAATACTACATAGCACAAAGAAAGAAGGAGCTCCTACCCTTCGCAACAGCATGGATGGAACTGGAGGGCATTATGCTAAGTGAAGTAAGCCCAGGAGGTGAAAGAGAAATACCATATCATCTCACCTATAAGTGGAACCTAATCAACAAAACAAACAAGCAAGCAAAATACAACCAGAGACATTGAAATAAAGAACAATCTGACAGTAACCAGAGAGGAAGAGGGAGAGGGATAATAGGGGATAATGAGGGGGGATATCAAGGAACATGTATGAAGGACACATGGACAAAGCCAAAGGGGGTGAGTTCGAGGGTGACAGGTGGAGGGGGTGGGTGGCGGGGCATGATGAGGTGAAAAGGGAGACAATTGTACTTGAACAACAATAAAAAAAGAAAAATAATAAAATAAAAAAATAAATTTTATTTTCATAAAAAGATCAAATTGTGTCATGAATAACTCGATATTTTAAATAACCAGTCTTCATGTATAATAACCATGGTCAAAGTTGCTATCAAATAAAACCAAATCAATGCTTATGAATGAAAACACACACACACATACACATTAAAATTTGTCAGTGGCAGATGAGGTTTCCCAAGGAGTAGGAATATAAGGCTTAGAATGGTAGAAATTGGTAAGTCAGGTGTGTTTTCATGGTAAGCAAACTTTTTTGCACTGATCTGTCTTAGGCTTATATTCTTGAAGGCTGTACCAAGGTATGTCATCTCCTTTTGTCTCTTCGTTCCATTCTATAAAGGAGAGGCTAAAGCAGGGGACACTCTGAACCAGTCATGGCCATTTAAACTGCACCTGACTGTATGTACTGTCATGGCCAAAGAAGAAGACAAAAGATATAGGATTCCAGTAGACATCTGCTTTTTCTTCCCTAAAATGATGTGGTGGGAATTGAGAAGGGTAGCTTATGTGGTGAGAATGCAGTACCCTGAAGTCAGAGTACCTGCTTCCCAGTTTTGGTGCTTCAGTTTGACTTCTGTATGACTTCAGGCAGCTCTCATCACATGAACCCTTGAGCCTAGATGTCTTTTATATAAATGGTTTGAATAACACCTTTCTGATGGGGTTGTTGTGAGAACCGGATGGGCTAATATATGTAAAAGTACACTTTACAGTTGACTGTTGAACAATACAGGTTTGAACTGCATGTGTCCACTTAATATGTGGATTTTTTTTCAGTAAATATTGTAAATGTATTTCTCTTCCTTATGATTTTCTTAATAACATTTTATTTTCTATAGCTTACTTTATTGTAAGAATATAGTATATAATGCATACGACATACAAAATATGTTAATTGACTGTTTATGTTATCAGTAAGGCTGGTCAACAGTAGGCTATTAGTAGTTATATTTTGGGGGAGTAAAAAATTATATGTGGATTTTTAACGGGTAGGTGGGTGCTCCTAACGTCTAAATTGTTTAAGGAACAACTGTACTTTTGTAAACCATGAAATACACAGTTAAATACTAGTGTAATAATACATAAATAAGAGGCATGTTATACCTTTTCCAGGTATAATAAAATTTCAGTTTATATCAGCAGATATAAATGGGGATTCCCAATTATGTGTATGTGTGGTTTTAGAATATATTATAAATGTATTTTGGTAGCAGATTTACACTCCTAATTTTGGCTTTGACTAATATCTTTAATATGAATTTACTTAATACATTCAAAGTAACCATATGAATAGTTATCCAAAAGAAAGCTGAGTGGCAAGGGAAAGCATATGTTCCTGAATACTTCCCATAAGTTTCATTGGTCTCATGTTTCATCCTTGGTGCACTCCAAGCCCTCTCTGATTTAAGCCCTTCATGGGGCTTTTAGAGGAAACAAGATCACAGTTGTTGATTTTTTTGAAATCTAATTTTTTCAAAACATTGGTGTATAACATGCATTAGCTTAAAAAATGACTGGTTTAAGAGGCAAACATAGTGAGTCCATAATATGTACAAGCAGCACCCTCCCTTGGTAACTGTGGTGTAGCAAGCCCTTGAAGGCTTCTCTTCTGAGCAGGTGGCTTAGAGACAGCAGGCATTCCTTGATACCTTCTTCAGCCTCAAAGAGAGGCAAACATTTGGGAAGGACAAAAGAAACTACTCAGATCCTCTGTCTGGAATGCAGGCCAGAAGACGCCCACAGTCCTTTGTCTGGTCATACTTCATGGTGGCTACTTGCTCCAGGCTGAGTTCTTCTTGTGCTTTGTGTGTCCCTGATGTTGCTCAGCTGGCATGCTAGGGCTCTCCTGCCTTTTTAAATTTTAAGATAAAGTGTTCCTGGCCCCTGTTTAATTAGGATATTTGGGGGATTTTGCTTGTTTGTTTTTGGTAAATAGTTCTGATTGTCCAATGAAAATTGGACAGCTAATGCCTTGAGGAGTAAGAACCATGGCTCAGAATCCCAAGAACAGGGATTTCCCCCCATCAGAATATCCCACCGGCACAATGATTTATGAGAAGTAAATCTGTGCATGTGTGTATATTTGTGTGTGTGCATTTTAAGGTAGCCAATAAATGTACAGAGGCATTTAGAGGATTACAGTTTTGCCACCTCTTTCTGAATAATTACTACATCTTGTATCGGTGTAAGTATATGAATTTACATACTTATATACATATAGATACTTAAAAAATGCCCATCTTAAGTGGAACTAGTTGTTTCCCATTTCTTCTCATCTATATTTCCCAGGATCTGAAGATTAATCCAGATGAATATCAGGAGACACCATAGATGCCATGAGCAGATACTTAGAACATTCTGTTTTCTGAAACTGAATTAAGCAGAAGTTTCCTTAGGTAGCATTTTTGTATTTTATTAGTTTGAAACTTGTATCTCTAATGATCTTCTAAGGTTCCACCAGAACTGGAATTGACTAGCTGAATCACTAGAGTAAAATGTTCTGGGTTCAATCTATGGAAATGATTGCTGTATTTACACATGTGCACGTGTGCACACAAACACAAACACTTAATTTAATAAAAGTAGCTGCAGTAGTTTTGCCTGGAATTTACTGAGCCCTTGCTTGCTTCCTTAGTGATTGGTAAGACAAAGGACATTTTAAAAACATGTTTAAGGCTAAATAGCATTATTCAGGAGTAACTTCAGTTATGAGTTGATATCATAGAAGCAGTAAGTAGTTTTACTTTTTAGAGACTTTTAATGTGTTTCTAATGCTCACTCAAAAATCACAATGTGATTCCTGCTTTTTTTTTTAATTCAGAGACACTTTTTCAGAAATCTTGGGTCTATTCTGGCCTATGCCTTTTTGGGGACTGCCGTTTCCTGCTTCATTATCGGGTAAGGAAATCTTTATCATATAACTTAATTAACACATTTTCCAAAGAGATGAGATCCACATGGGTCCACAGAGTACAGTATTTCCTCAGCTTTACTGAGATATAATTGACACATAACATTGTGTAAGTTTGAGATATACACTGTATTGATTTGATACATTTATAAATTGCAAAATGATTTCCACCATAGCTTAGCTAACACCTCCATTGTGTCACATAGTTACTATTTCTTTTTTTGTGGTGAGAACATCTGAGACCTACTCTCATCAAATTTCAAGAAAATGACATAGCATTATTAGCTATAATCCATGCTATAACCATGCTATAGGTCTCAAAAACTTGTTAATCTTATTACTGGAAGTTGTACTCTCTGAGCAATGGTTCCCCATTTCCCCACCCCCTACCCCCTGGCAATCACCAGAGTCAAGTATTTATGGTAACAGCAGGTAAGATCCATAGCTACATTGTCCAGTGTGGTAACAATTAGCCATTTGTGGTTATTTAAATTAAATTAATATTAATTAAAATGAAATAAAATTACACCTGGTCCTCAGGCCTTGGTTTCTAATATCATTATCCAATAAAAAGAATCATGTCCCTTTGCATGTGTGGCTGATTCTAGGGCTGGGGCAGCATATATACAAGATGAGAATGGAGAACCTTATAATGCCAAAAAGTAAGGAAGTGCTCAGAAAACAAACATTGGTGATAATGGAAGCAAGATGGGGGAAAAGCTGCCAGAAAGAAGTCTGGTAACCATGTCTAAGTTTGTGGTAGAAGGAAATGAAGAGGAAGGTGTGCTTTTAGAAAATATTTAAAAGGTAGATGAAATAAGCAACAAAGGGCAAATCAAATCTGTATCATGGGGTTACTATAAATTGAAATAGAACTTCTCAGGTGCCTGGAACAGTGTCTGGCACACAGTAAACAAGCATTAACCTACAGTTATTTATTCTCAAAAGGATTAAATTCTGCAAATAGTTCTTGAGCTCCTATCTTAGTCTACTTGTTCTAGGCACCCAGGATATAAAGGTGTGCAAGACATGGTTCTAACTATCAAGAATGTTACTATCAGGGGATTGACTTTAGGGTGCAAAGAGTCTATTTTGTGGTTATTTTTATTCCCTTAACCCCTGGAGCTACTGCCAGTACACACACAGACATACACACACATGCACATATACACACATACAACCTTAGTAACAGTAACCTTAGTAAAAGTCACTAGGTCTTTTAACACCCCTCACTCCTCCCAATTTGTTAGTTGAGGAAATGTGCTCCAGATGAAGTTCAAATATTGAACTTCATGATCCCTCTTGTACCACATCATATTCTGCATAGCATAAGGAGGACTGCTGCTGGCCTGTCAAATCCATGCAAAGAAGAAGAGGCCAGATATGTTGATAGGTACACTAATTTTTAATTGGATGTTTAGAGAATTTTGCCTTTTCCCTTTTTTGAAATAACTCTTGGCAGGAAATGTTGCTCACTTGAACTTTGTGGCTAACACATTTGTTTTCCTCCCCAACTTCATCCAGTCCACGCATGTCCATGACTTTAAACACACTTTCTTAGAATCCTGTGGGTGTTATAGAAATCTGTTATACATTATGCAGGGTTCCTTCTCTTTCTTTCTTTTCTATTACTCAGCTGCTTAAGATATCTTTATTGCTAATTGAGGACCATTCCTTATAGTTACAAGTAAGCACAACTATAAAAAATGGAATATTCAGAGGTTCCAGCAAGTGACATTAATTGCAAACTATTACTTGATGCCAAAGTCTTATTGCACATGTTCCTGGTAAATGTTCAACCACAGCAGCTGCCTGATGCTTTCATGACTCTGTCTTGAAGTACAGTATTCTAGTACTACTCTGCTTGCACATTTGCTAGTTTACTCAGTTAGGAGAGTTTTCTTCTATTTTTTTTCTCTTCTGACATAGTTTATCTTCCTTCCTTATAGAAATCTCATGTATGGTGTGGTGAAGCTCATGAAGATGGTGGGACAACTCACAGATAAATTTTACTACACAGATTGTCTCTTTTTTGGAGCAATTATCTCTGCCACTGACCCAGGTATTTGTATATTTTGCACTACCATTATGGTATTTCATTATTTAAATCTTAAAAATTTCAGAGCAATCATGAACTTTTGTTGCATTAGAGAGAATGTAGGATTAACATGGAATGGTAGAGGAAGAGACCAGTAAGTCTAATAGACTTAGATGGCTTTTCTAAGAAAATCATGCATTCATTTCCCTATTGTTATTATTATTAACTGTGGCAAAACACATAACAAAATTTACCATTTTAACCACTTTTAAGTGTACAGTTCAGTAGTGTTAAGTATATTCACATTGTTGTTCAACCAACCCCCAGAAGTTTTTCATTTTGTAAAACTGAAACTCTGTACCCATTAAACAACCCCCCATATCCTCTTCTCCCTGCCCCTAGCAACCACTGTTCTATTTTCTGTATCTGAGTTTTACTATTCTAGATACCTCATATAAGTAGAATTAAGTATATAGTATTTGTCTTTTTGTGATGGGCTTATTTCACTTCATGTAATATCCTCAAGGTTCATCCATGTTATAGCATGTGTCAAAATTTCCTTCCTTTTTAAGCCTAATATTCCATTATATGTAGATACTGTATTTCTGTTTATCCTTCCATCTGCCAATGGACACTTGGGTTGCTCCCACCTATATTTTCTTTTTGTCTTTCATTTGAGAATGTCTAATTTGTTCATAATTTTTACACATAGACTGTCTTATTTTTCAGTGTTGTGCTTTTGACTTCTTTCATGAAACATACCATTTGGTATAAATAATACTTTATCTTAGTGGAAGTGCACACTGGTACCTATAGTGAGTATAATTTAATTTGTAGACTCCTTTTGTGCAGTGTTTCTACATGACTGCACACTGTGATGCGGTTCTTAAACATAAATTTTTTACCTTATATTTTTCAAGTGTTAGTTGAACCAATTCTTAAAAGTTAAACCAATTCTTATGTCTTTCCTCCCTTACAGTTCAAAAGCAAACAAGCAAAGCAAAACAAAAATCTCTCTTCTCCAAGTCGGAACCCATAATTTAAAAAGTTTGTGTGAAGTAGTTACAGCTATTCCTTCCTCTAATGTCATCTATTGAGGGTACACCTTAGGAAAAGAATTTACAGAGAAAAATCTGATCCTGTCTTAATAGTGGAGATAGAAAGGTCTACAGTGTCCTTTAACATCCTGGACAGTAATTATCTTAAAGATAATAAGATTCCCTACAACTTCACCATACCTCTTGGGGATCCTCTAGATCAGAGATATCCCATAAACCTTTGTGTGATACTAGAAATGTTCTGTAACCTTCCCAGTCCATTATGGTAGCCAATAGTCACAGGTGGATTTTTCAAATGTGGGGTAGTGCAACTGAATAACAATTTTAAATTTTATTTTATGTTAAGTAATTTAAATTTAAGTGGCCACATGTGAATAGCACCACTCCAGACAGTTATGTAATACAAAAAAACCTCAGTGGCCCCCAAATCATTGACTTTTTAAATCCCATAATTTACTCCAAATGCCCTAAGTTAGTTGATATTGAAGACTTGGTTGGTTAAAGCACCCTGCTTTGTGAAAAGACTGTGGAATATGGAGTTAGTTGCAGGCAAAGGTTTTCATTTTAGCCTTGCTAGTCACTGAGCTGGTGTCAGTTTACTTATTTATGAAGTAGGAATAATGGAACCTATTTTCTAGGACTATTATGAAGATTAAATGAAATAACACATGTCAAGCATTGAACATAGCATCTGACACAGGCATCGATTTCTGTTTTCCTAGTATTTTTAAAAATAAATAACAGGTAATCACATAACCCCAGCATGGTTTTTCTTCTTCTATTTTTAAAATATATTTTATTGATTATTATAGTTGTCCCATATTTTTCTTCCCTTTATTCCCCTCTGCCTTGTAACACCCCACCCACCATCATTCCCCCACCTTAGTTCATATCCATGGGTCATACATATAAGTTCTTTGGTTTCTCTATTTCCCATACTAGTATTAACCTCCCCCTGTCTATTTTGTACCTACCAATTATCCTTATTCCCTGAATCTTTTCCCCCATTCTCTCCCCTCCCCCTCCCCACTGATAACCCTCCATGTGATCCCCATTTCTGTGATTCTGTTACTGTTCTAGTTGTTTGCTTAGTTTGTTTTTATTTTTTTAGGTTCAGTTGTTGATAGTTGTGAGTTTGTTGTCATTTTACAGTTCTTACTTTTGATCTTCTTCTTTTTCTTGGATAAGTTCCTTTAACAGTTCATATAATAAGGGCTTGGTGATGATGAATTCCTTTAACTTCACCTTGTCTGGGAAGTACTTTATCTGCCCTCCCATTCTAAATGATATCTTTGCTATCATTAGAGTAATCTTAGATGTAGGTCCTTGCCTTTCATGACTTGGAATACTTCTTTCCAGCCCCTTCTTGCCTGAAAGGTTTCTTTTAAGAAATCAGCTGCTAGTCTTATGGGAACTCCTTTGTAGGTAACTGTCTCCTTTTCTCCTGATGTTTTTAAGATTCTCTCCTTATCTTTCATCTTGGGTAATGTAATTATGATGTGCCTTGGTGTGTGCTTCCTTGGGTCCAACTCCTTTGGGACTCTGAGCTTCCTGGACTTCCTGGGAGTCTATTTCCTGTGCCAGATTAGGGAAGTTTTCCTTCATTGTGTTTTCAAATAAGTTTTCAATTTCTTGCTCTTCCTCTTCTCCTTCTGGCACCCCTATGATTCAGATGTTGGAATGTTTAAAGTTTTCCCAGAGGGTCCTAAGCCTCTCCTCATTTTTTGAATTTTTGCTTCTTCAATCTGTTCTGGTTGAACGTTTATTACTTCCTTCTGGTCCAAACCGTTGATTGGAGTCCCGGTTTCCTTCCTGTCACTGTTGGTTCTCTGTAAATTTTCCTTTATTTCACTTTGCTTAGCCTTCATTTTTTCCTCTATTTTGTAACCATACTCAGTCGTTTCTGTGAGCATCCTGAATACCAGTGTTTTAAACTCTGTGTCTGATAGGTTGGCTATCTCTTTATTGCTTAGTTCTATTTTTGGAGCTTTGATGTGTTTTTTTTCACTTGGGACATATTTTTTGTCTTGGTGTGCTTGTTGAGGAACAAAGCCTTAGGTATTCACCAAGGCAGGGTACCCCAAGGCACTGTCTGTAGGGAAGGTGGCTGAGAGGGAACAATATTGCTTTCTCGGCTCTCAGCTGGCTTTCAGTCACTCCCCCTGTTAACCACAAGCACACTGGGCCCTTCTGGTGCTGATTCCCAGGTGGGTGGGTTTGTGTATGTTCTAGGACCCTGTGAGTCTCTCCAACAAACTCTCCTGTGAGGCTGGGAGTTTCTCCTGCCACCTTAACCCCCACAGGTTTTTAGAGATAGCGGTTTTGAGGCTTTATTTTCCCGCACTGAAACCCTGGGTTGCACAGTCTGTCTTGCTCCACAGTTCTTCTGCCCAGTTTATCCACATGCAAATGTGGGACCACTCTGGTCCTCCAGCCACTTCCTTGCCACATATCCTCTCTGCCCTGGCTGCCTATCTCTGTCCCTCCTGTCAGTCTGGATGAATGTTTCTTCTTGAACTCCTTGGTTGTCAGACTTCCATATAATTTGATTTTCTGGCAGTTCTGATTTTTTTTTAATTTGTTGTTGTCCTTCTTTGCTTGTGTGAGGAGGCAAAGTGTATCTACCTATGCCTCCATCTTGGCCAGAAGTCCACAAGTAGCATTTATACAGCAGTGGTCTGAATTTGACTGCTCTGAGTTTTAGTTTCTCATTCTTCCTGTCTATCATCTTATAAAGCAAGGCAGGAGCTCTGCCATTCCCCTTCTGAGGAAGGCTGTGCCGATCCATGATGAGGAATACAGGTGCTGACACCAGGAAGATGATGGGGGATGACAAACTAGTTGAGTGGCTTCTAAAAGTGGGGAGTAAACAAATTGTCCCACCCACAGCAGAACCTTTGAATCAAAGAGAACGGGGTCACAACAGCTGTTTCCAACTGTATTATGAACAGAGAAATTGCAGTGAACTGACTGAGGAGTGCTGGTACAGGTTTCTAAAAAACAGTGGAAAAAATAAAAGAATAGCAGATAGGAGAAGAAGGAAAGACAAAGAACCTTAATTTGTTAATTCAACTAACTTTTCCTGAATATTTCATCAGCGTATTAAAGAGCACTTAGCACTGTGAACACTCAGTACAAAGCAGTAAATATCATGCACAAAATAAATGACTCAAGAATTATGGGAGCCAGTAACTGCAGGAGTTCAACTAAAAATGGATCCACCTTTTGACTCAGCAATTCCACTGCTAGAATTATATCTTAAGAACCCTGAAACACCAATCAAAATAACCTATGTACCCCAATGTTCATAGAAGCACAATTTACAATAATCAAGTGCTGGAAGCAACCCAAGTGCCCATCAGTAAATGAATGGATCAAAAAACTGTGGTACATTTACACAGTGGAATTCTATGCAGCAGAAAGAAAGAAGGAGCTCCTATCCTTTGCCACAGCATGGATGGAACTGGAAAGCACTATGCTAAGCAAAATAAGCCAGGCAGTGAAAGACGAATACCTATGATCTCACCTTTAACAAGAACCCTAATCAACAAAACAAACAAACAAGCAAAATATAACCAAAGACACTGAAATTGAGAACAGGCTGACAGTGACCAGAGGGGAGAGGAGAGGGAATTTCAGGGGAAAAGGTGAAGGGTTTGAAGGAAGAAGTATAAAGGAAACATGGACAATAACAAGGTGGGGTGGAAACAGGAAGGAGGTAAGGAGGGCTGGGGGTGGGTGGGCTGGGATGGGGGTAAAGGGCAGAAAACTGTACTTTAACAACAATTAAAATAAAATTTAAAAAATTTAAAAAAGAAGGGGCTGGAAAGAAGTATTCAAAATTATGAAAGGCAAGGACCTATATCCAAGATGACTCTATCCAGCAAAGCTATCATTTAGAATGGAAAGGCAGAGAAAGTGATTCCCAAATAAAGACAAGTTAAAGGAGTTCATCATCGCCAAGCC